CTAAAGCCCTGTATCGATTTTTTTATTAAGTTTTAAAATGTCAACTTTCCTGCCGGCCGTTCATTTTTGTTGTAGTTCAGCCTCTGACCACTAGTTGGCAGCAGTGAGCCAGCCAGTTGTCTACTCTATATCTTGAGGTAGAGGCTTTTGTTAAGTGTTGGGTGACCATATTGTAAATTAATATTAAAAACTAAAAGCTGCAAAAATATATTTTCAAACTATTCATTGTCAAATTTAGTCTAATAATTGAAATCATGGATGAAATAAGAAATATGAAACAAATAAAATAAAACACAGACAAAGCAGAACACAGCTAAATGTATCAAAAAAGAATTTTCTGAGACAATGAATTTTGGTTTTTCATTTTTTCTACTGTAAGAGGTTTTTATTTAATAGAATTTTTGGACAAAAAAATCGCAATATATCGCAATATATCGGGATATATCTTATCGTGACCCCTCTGTCATGATATGTATCGTATTGCCAAATTCTGGCCAATACACATCCCTAATCTGCACTGTTAATTTTAAAATGAGATAAATAAAAGAACATGTTCTTCTTTCCCCCCTGTGTGATATTCTAATTCACAAGCCTGTTATCCAGATGTATGGTTTTACTTTTTATCTGTCTGCCTGTCTGTGTGGTCGATTCCTGCTTCGCTGCAGGCCATGTGATCTTTACAGTGGCAGCATGCCATCATGCTTTTCTTTTAATTAGCTGGTACACGGTGCAGGCCAGCAGAGCTCAGCTCAGCTCACATCCAACCAGCACTCATCACCGTGCACACACCCTCCTCTCCTCCCCACGAGTTTCCCTACCCATAACCTGTCTGTTGCATCCCCCTTGTCTCTCAGTCCCATCGCGGAGCCTTTCAGCATTCTGCTGAGTGTCGACTTTGACAGGAGGAGGCCTCCATGGTGGCTTGCCCTCAACAAAAATAAACCCCGTGTTGGGGGGCAGACGGAGTGAATATTTCATAGGATGCTTTCTGATGTGTGCACATGCGTTACAGCCGAGAAGTGTCCACCACGAGGAGCTGCTCCTCCGTTCGACCCTCTGCTTTGGTGATGTTTTTCAGAGCTTTTTTCTCCCCTTTTTGTTCACTTTATTTCATGCGGTTCAGCCTCTTACTGAATTTTGTTAGATTTTCACCACTGTACCCTTTTACCTTCTGCCTTATGTTCAATTTTCCGGGCTTCCTTTGTGCATTCTCTTATCCTGACACAGCTTAGTTTGATCTGACAGGCCAGAAGCATGACTCGCATCATGACTCAGGTTAGTGTTGAGTCATACTTCTCGATTGGACTTCTTGATTACAGACACTTCTCGCTAGCTTTGTCTCTGTCTGAAGTTTCAAAGACTGCTTAGTCTGATTTGGCCTGAAGATTCATAGAGTTTTAAGTGTAATTTAATTCTGGCTACAGCTGCGCTGTAATGTAATAAAGTCTTAGGGCCTGTAAAAGCTCTTGTCTTCTTGTCTGCCGTTTTTTATTCATTATTAGAAAAAAACAAACCCAACGTCAGTTCTGATGAACTTGAAGTGTGCAAAAATGATCTTTAAATACAAACAACAAAAGACTTTCCTGAAATTATTCCACACTAACACAAGACAAAGGTTAACATTCTGCCCCATTGATTTTCATTAAAAGTCAGACATGCTTTCCAGAGCAGGTTGAGATATTATTGAACGTGACTTTCCAAAAAGTCATTTAGTTTCGTAACTGCTGCTGTTACTAACCAACCAACAGGGGCACAGTCAACTCAGAATCCTGCTGGGAACATTTTCTCAAGCTTTAATTGTTAATGTTACCTTATTTTTTTAGGAGTTGATTTATGGGACGTTTTCAAATGGTGAACAGAGGTTCGATGAAGAGGAGCAAACGTTGGGCTCTGATATGAGTACAAGCTGAATGAGTCAGATCGAGTCCGTCTCACTGAGTTTCAGCAGCTTGACATGATTCACAATCACAACTGACCCAAATGTGCTGCTTTGATCTACTTCAGAGTAAAAAATGCTGCGTTAATGCTTGATTATTAGAGTTTATTTTTTTTCTGATTGTAGTTATTCTTACTAACACGTTTGCAGCTTCACTATCCTAAATAGATGAGATGAATTTATTAAACAAACAGACTGTTACATTTTTTAACAACAGTAGGAGTCATTGTTTAGGCTTAGTAAACTGGAATGAATGTACCTTTAGTCTCTCAGTGGTGTTCTAATCCAAAACATGATCTGTTTGTGTCTGTGCTCTGATCCTTTTCTCTCTCTCTCTTTTTATATCTTTTTTTGTTGTTGTTGCTTGTTTTGTCTCCAGGTACAATGGCTCCCTGCCAAGTGGAGATCGTGGACGCAGAAAGAGCCGCTTTGCTCTTTACCGACGGGCCAAGGCCAACGGGGTCAAACCCAGCGCTGTGCACATCCTCAACACACCACAGGACAGCAAGGTACGTGTGTGTGTGCAGGCTTCTGTGTTGTATGTTAAAACAGTGTGTAGGAGTTTCCTTCCTTTTAAACCTCTCGTTCTTTGTGTCAGAGGAAGGAAGAATAACTGTGCGGATATGTGGTACGCATTTGAGTGTACACATCTTTCTACTTAAGTCTGCACAAATTCTTTAAAAAGATTCATCACCATCGGGTCGTATTCACGCGCTGTTGTCTAATATACTGGATGATTCAAAAGTCACAGGACACCATTTTTCTTTAAAAAAAAGGGAAAATGACCTTCAAATATCCCAGCAATTACTGGGTGAGGGGTAGGGTTAGGCGATATTGGCAAAAAAAATTATCACGATTAATTGCGGCATTTAGTCGATAACAATTAATATGATTCACTTGCATGTCCTTTGTCCACGTTTTCTGGCTTTCCTTTTTCTCTGACTTGTGGCGGTGTTTCAAGCAAACAAGTTCATAGGGTTCGGATTAGCTGCTCTTTGGTTCTGCCATTGGGCTAAAATGGGCGTCTAATTGTGATGGTGTGTCACTCACAAAAGTGCGTCATCATCACATGGCTTCAAAGGGATCCACGATTAGTTGTAACATCAGAATTTATGTAATAAACATAGATTTTAACTGTAAAAGACTGTTAAAATACTGTAGTATGTTCAGTTTTTATCATTTTTAAACTAAAAGTTTAAAAATATATTTCACGGATGGGGCCATTTTATTTACACACAAAGCATTCTGGGTAAATGTTGACGTGGATAGGTCATCTGTGTGAGGCTGCTAGCGAGCTATATCCACCCTGAAGGTTAATCTTGGACAATATCTGACGATTGACTCTTAAATGAAACCAGAGAGCGTTGACAGAGAGGAGAAGGTAGAAATGACTCAGCCTGTAACTGAAAATATGGATGGAGGACAACAGAGCTGTTTCATGGAAGAAGAACCTCAGCTTAGCCTGTTAGCTTTAGCGTTAACCCAAATGCTATCACCTAGGGCTTGGCGGTACATCCTCAAATTCATATCACGGTATAAATAGAACCCCTTCACAGTAACGGTATATATCGTGGTAGAGAATTATCATAAAAAGTTAAAATAATGTAATTTTTTAGAACATTATTTTTGCAGAAAACTGTAATCTTAATTAAACCCAACGTTTTTGCTTTAATATCTGCCTGCCAAACAATGAGCTTCTGCCTGCTGAATTTATCAGCTGTTGCTCTGCTGCACGCTCATCTTCATCATCATCAGAGCAGAAGCCGACTTTACATTAGCAAGATGGATTTACGACTGAACGAACGTCCACGTTTTTTTTTAATAATCTCTGTGGGTAACAATACATAAAAAACAAGTTTTTTTCTCCGACAATTGGGTGTGAAAAACTACAGTTGTTTAAGCTTTGCTTTGCACGATGTGCAGCGAGAGGGGAGGGAGGAGGAAATGATCCCGTGATACGACGTAACTTTTCCTACAGCGGGAGGGGGATGTTTTGAGGATTTATCCTCGCTATACGTGTTTTAAAATGCTAGAATTTCTTCATTATACTGTATTTCAAACTCCTGCTTAGTTGACTCTGCACTTGGGGCCCTGTTCACACAGGTGCGATGATGTAATGACGGTTGGATGGTAGAGTATAAATTTCGACCGTAGGCCAACTTCATACCGTTTCTTCTGTCTACCGCATATACCGTGCAGCCCTACTATCAACATATACAGTATATTTATTAGCTCAGCGCTACACATTCTCCTCTCGTCACTGAGGTCCTCCATCCACATGACAGAGAGGAGAACACAAAAATGACTCAGCCTGCAACTGAAAATATGGATGGAGGACCTCAGTTTAGCTTGTTTGTCGCGCTATCACCGAGCTAATACATATAAGGCAATATAGCGTCAGCGCTAGCGCGAAGGCTAACAGGCTAAGCTGAGGTTCTTCTTCCATGAAGCAGCTCTGTTGTCCTTCATCCACATTTTCAGTTACAGACTGAGTCATTTCTACCTTCTCCTCTCTGTCAACGCTCTCTGGTTTCATTTAAAAGAGCCAATCGTCAGATATTGATACAGATATATTGGGCGGCTGTGGTGTAGTGGTAGAGCAGCCGGCTTTGGGACACGCAAGTCACAGGTTTGACTCCCCGCCAAGACACTTCACCCACCTTGCCTACTTGTGGTGGTCGGGTCCGGTGGCGCCTATGTATGGTAGCCTGTCAGTGTGCCCCAGGGCAGCTGTGGCTACAATTGTAGTTTGCCATCATCAGTGTGTGAATGTGAGTGTGAATGGGTGAATGTCTGTAAGTGTCTGTAAGCGCTTTGAGTGTCCTGGATGGACCGAAAGGCGCTATATAAGTACAGTCCATTTACCATTTACATATTGTCCAAGATTAACCTTCAGGGTGGATATAGCTCGCTAGCAGCCTCACACCGAGGACCAATCCACATTTACCCAGAATGCTTTGTGTGTAAATAAAATGGCTCCATCCGTGTTAAAATATATTTTTACAGTATTTTTACAGTCTATATTTTACAGTTAAAATATAAGTTTATCAAATAAAGTCTAATGTTACAACTAATCAGGGATTCCTTTAAGTGCTGTAATAGCAAAGTGGCAAATATTAATTGACAGTTTTTTGTCCAATAATTGCACAGGATTCGATTTTGCCCAACCCTAATGGGGGGGAAGGGGGGGGGGGCTTTCCAGAGAAGCCCTCACCCATTACTTGCTGGAATATTTTTCCTTTTGTTTTATGAAATAAAAGCGTGTCCTGTTACTTATGACTCACGCTGTGTTTATACTTTCTTCTGACAAAGATGCGTCCAGGAATATATTTTAATGATGCAACTGCTTTGTTGTTGTAGGCTGTCCACAGCAGAGGGCAGCACAGCATCTCTTTCACTCTGTCCCGTAACCAAACAGTGGTGGTGGAGTACTGCCACGACAACAACACGGACATGTTCCAGGTAAAACACAGGAAGAAAAGAAAATGAAGTTCTATCAGCTATTCTCCTTCAGCGATGGCAAGATTTCTAAAGACAGGACCTCTCTGATCATGAGCAGGTTGCTCCCAAAATACACCATTACGTAAGGCCATCAAAGCACTGCTAAAGTAGGTGCAGTATTTTGGGCCAGAGCTGTGACAGTTTAGGATTAAAATAAAGTTTTGTGCGTGATTCAGTTATTTTTGTGTTAAAAGCTCTTCTCCTGTTGGTTTCTGTTTCATCAATGAGCTGAATTCTTTCATTAGTAAAGGCAGCTTCTCTTTTTTCCCCCTGCAGATCGGGCGCTCCACCGAAGGTCCCATTGACTTTGTGGTCACAGACACCTCTGGTGGGGGAAAGGAATGCGAGGACCCCTCCATCGCTCCCAGCACCATTTCTCGTTTTGCCTGCAGAGTGGTGTGCGAGCGCAACCCTCCCTACACCGCACGCATTTATGCCGCAGGCTTCGACTCATCCAAAAACATCTTTTTAGGGGTGAGCAGACAGATGGTGCACAGTTTTGGAATCTAGATTAAAATAGTGAAAAACACTTTATGAAACAGCTTTAAAGAACAGTGCAGGCAGATGATTCATTAACTGTGTTTCCATTGACCATGAAAATGCTCAAATTAGAATTTCGAAAATAAATTTGCTCAATGGAAACACGTCAATTTCGAGAAAAATTACATTTTTTGACTAAATGTGTTTGCGCTAGGATGAGGTGGTTTCACGGCCATATCGAAATTTGTGTTTTTTTACAAAACTGCAATGGAAACACTTTTTTCGCATCACGGTAGTCACGTGATCAACAACCGGCTGTTTCTACTGGCGAAAACGACAACGACGATGAAGACAACAGGAAGTAGAAGTAGTAGTAATATCACAGAAGTAGTAAAAGAAAGTAGTAAACTCACCGACAACAATTTCCCAAAAACACAGCATACGTAGCCGCTACAAAGTAGGGGCTCGTCGCTGGAAATCCTTGATAAAATATGCCAACGTGATGATGATGAGCGCTAGTGTCGCGGTAGCTATATGCTATGTGTTTGCATCCATTGCTGCCATGTTTGTAATGACTTATTGCTAGAACAAACATATTCACGCGTGACTTTAATTGCATTTCTTACTTAATGGAAACACCACGATTGCGAAACTGTGTTTTTTTTATATTAACAGAATATCGACAAAGTTTTGCACACATTTGCAATGGAAGCGCAGCTACTGCGTATTTCTTTTTGTTTTTCAACAGCTGATTTAATAATACTTTTTATGTTTTATGTTTTAGGAGAAAGCAACCAAATGGAAAAATCCAGATGGTCATATGGATGGTCTCACTACCAATGGGGTCCTAGTGATGCACCCTGAGGGTTTCCCGGAGGACCCAAAGCAGGGTCTGTGGAGGGAGATCTCTGTGTGTGGAGATGTTTATGCTCTACGGGAAACGCGCTCCGGTCCAAGCCGGGGCAAACTGGTGAGTCACTGCTGGTTAGGTTATTGTGTGTTTTTATTTTATTTTATTTTTCTTTATAATAAACATCTACAGGCAGAGGGTGAGAGCAGCGCGCTGCGTGATGGCTCCCTGGTGGATCTCTGTGGTGCCACCCTGTTGTGGCGGACAGGAGAGGGACTCATGCGTGCTCCCACTCTGCGCCACCTGGAGGCTCTTCGTCAGGAGCTTAATGCGTCTCGACCTCAGTGTCCTGTAGGCCTCAGCACGCTGGCCTTCCCCAGTCTGCCACGTAGCCACAGGTGGGTTATAGAAGCAGTTGACAAAGGGTCACCTTTAGATATGAGTTTACACGCAATAGCTGACTTGAAATACGTTATATAAGTACAGTCGTTCTTTTTGACATAATTGATGATGTGTTGCTACAGCCTTGAAGAGCGTCAGCCCTGGGTTTACCTCGCCTGCGGCCACGTCCACGGACGTCACGACTGGGGCCAGAGATCGGAAGGAGAGGTTGGGCCAAGAGAAGGCGAAGGATCCGCAGCCCGTCGAGAATGCCCGCTGTGCAGAAGCGTGGGGCCCTACGTGCCCCTGTGGCTGGGCTCTGAGCCCGCCGTGTACGTCGACGCAGGAGCGCCCACACACGCCTTCGTTCCCTGCGGTCACGTCTGCTCAGAGAGGACAGTCAGGTACTGGGCAGAGACTCCCCTGCCCCACGGGACTCATGCATTCAGACCCGTTTGCCCCTTCTGCTCTGCTGCCCTCAGCAGCCCCGGCTGGACACGACTCATCTTCCAGGGCCCCATCGACTAACCGCTACGCCTCAGCAAACACTACCACAATAACAGGAAGCTGCCTGCGCTGCATTCGGGTAGCAAATGTTGATGAGTAACAAAAGGTAATTACTGTAGAGTGCTGTAATCAAAGCACGCATGTTTTACACTCGTTTGAGTGTACAGCTACACTCGTCAGTGTTTTGTTCTTGAATGTAGCTCAGTGTTGAAGAATTTGCCTCCTTGTTTATCCTTCACTGTTTCGAGATCAGGAGGACCGATGAAAGTAACACAGCAGAATAATTAGTTTCTAGCGTAAAAGTGATGCATCATTCTCTCTCATGCAATAGTGTTTTTTTTTTATTCACGCCAAACACAAAGCAAGTTGATTTTTAATGAATACTTTTAAAATGAGCTTAAAGGATGCTGATTTAACCTTTTCAAACATCACTGTGTCAAATGACACATCCTGAATTCCTGTTAATTTACAATTCACCAGGTCTAAGCATATTTTTATCCTAATCAGATGACGGTTTTAATACGATAAGTAGCTTTTTTTGCACACACAAAATGAATGGCCTTGACTGTCATGTTGTCAGCATTAACTTGCAAATCTTGTTCTAAGTAATTTCACCTACACTTATATGGCTGACATTTCCACTTTCCATCATTTAAATCATGTTCTTTTACAGTTTCTTTAAACTTATGCATCCTTAGTTCCGTATTTTAACTCGTTGACACTAAAATGGGGATAGAAGGTACTGACGAATGTCTTRCTTTGATAGAACAAGTCAAATTCTCAGTGAGCCATGAAGAATTGGTTAAATATTGAAAAAGAAAAATCTATATATTTTGTGTAAATTAATTTAAGAAATCTCGTTTTCACTATATTTTTTAATGTGAAATCTATGCACAGCTACGCCCCTGATTCATCCCTATTCATCAGAGTGAGACACAGTAGATTTTTCCCTTGTTATGAAGCAAAATGAGGATAAACAAAGGCAGGAATGAAACCGGGTAAACTTCACTTCACAACTCTCTATAGCAATAAAAGCACTTGTATAGATAAGCTAGATGTTGTGCTATGTTTAGCCAGGTGTTGGGTAGCCGTTCCGTGAAACAGGTGAAAAGGTTTCCAGGTTAAAAGCTCAACCAGAGGTGTGCTCAGCTCCATGACTTTCTGATCAAAGTTTATGTCATGTAACCAAAGCACTAGAATTAAATGAAGAGCAGCCAAATATGGGACTTTTTAGTCATTTTAGTTGTTCTCAATGAGCTTAAAGAAAGCTTGAACAGACTTCTGGTTACTGAATTACACTAAACAGGGTCCATGTTAATGTGATGGAGTGTCAGAAGGGTTTGATCATGTATAACCTCAAAAGTAATTTTGTTCTGTTTTTAAAGAAAACTATTTTGTTAAAAATATATATAGCTATGGGGTTTATTTTGGGAAGTATTTCTTTTAGACGTTTACCTTAAAAAAACATCAAAAACTATTTTTCTAACATTTGGTTTAATTAACTATTCCTACTCAGTCTGTTTGTGCCCAGTTGTAATTGTGTGATAGTTTAGGAGAGCCCGTGAGTGAAAAAACATCACTAACACTGTGTCCACTTACATACCGCTACAGTAAAACACCACCCAGACAGTGAATGTAGCAAAAAAAAAAAAAAAACTAAACTTGGGCTTTGTTTAGCCTTTCGCTGGTGCTCATAATGAATGGTCTATATTGTGATACTATTTTTGTAACTGAATATTATGGTGTAGCTTGGTGAACTAGTTTGAAAAATGTGGTCTTTTTGAATCATAACCTCAAGTATGAGAGATGAAACATAATGAATAACTCACACTCAACGTGGATAACTGTCTAGCTTGCATGTGCTGAATGTTCAGGATGTATAACGACACTTTTTCAAAAAACTTGCTCGGTGGTTTGCAAATTTATTTATTCTGAGACAGTATTCGCAGATCAAGTTGTCTTCCTAGTCCTCAGTTGTTCAGATCACAGCAATATTATTTTGGCGGGAAAAAATGGAGTCTATAAATATACTTTTTACTTGATTACTTGATGGATCTTTGCAAATAAGACCTCACGTACGTCGCTGTTTTCCGTCACACAGATTCGACGTAATTTTAGCATTTCTTTACCTTTTGCATTCAACACACACTGAAGCATTTTGAATTATTGTAAGCAAGAATAATACAATCACTGACAAAAATAAAGTGAAGCACCCTGATGGAGAKTTACAGTGATATCAGATCAAATGGATAATGGAGTTGCTGGTACTGTGTCAGTTGTTTGTGGCCCCCGCTCAGACCGGGATACAAGCAAAACTTTTGCTATAGTTTGCTTTCAAGTTCTGGCATATTGGTACCGGATTGGTGTTAATACCTGAGCTAATCCCACAAATGTTTGATTTGGAAAAAAGTTAAGGACCTGGTTGGCCACGAGAAGACCTCAACATGACCCAAACAGTCCATAGATATACCTGCTACGTATGTATGAATGGTTGTTGTCTTACTGAAAGATGCACTAAGGTGCTGTCTCAGGGGAAATAAGACATGTCAGTGTAGTGTAAGGAATAGTTCTAACTGGTAGCTCGAGTAACATGTAGAAAGCCTATGGAGTTCTCAGTTAAAAGTTTATTTTCATATCAAAAAGAAAAATAAGTAGGTCCTCTGGATGGGTTCTTCTTTAGTGAAACGTTTCGTCTCTCGTCCAAGAGACTTCTTCAGTCTAATGAGTTTCAGGTGAACTCAGCCTTATAAGCACTGCCACATGGACAAACAGGTTAGTCACATGCAAAAGAGGGCCATTGCTTAACAATAGGCTTGATTAGCTCTATTGTTCCAAACCAATAAGTCAGGTGATGGGGCACATGACCCTCTATGAGCTAGTCAAGCCTATTGTTAGGCGATGGCCCTCTTTTGCATATGACTAACCTGTTTGTCCATGTGGAGGCAGTGCTTATAAGGGTGAGCTCACCTGAAACTCATCAGACTGAAGAAGTCTCTTGGAGGAGAGACGAAACGTTTCACTAAAGACGAACCCATCCAGAGGACCTACTTATTTTTCTTTTTTGATTTTTTTCCACCTGGATTACTGAGATGCATCAGGATGTTTATTTTCATATTTAAAGACTCTGTTTCACTCTGAGCCTGTGTGACCTCAGCRTCTAAACAAAATGTACCAGAATCACATGATTTCATAATACTTATTAAAACCCTGGTCTCTCTTACGTAAGCACTGGAATTTAAACAAGTATTCTTACGCACATAAGTAGAGACCTGTTGATTGTCTTAATATTTAAAGTAAAATTACTAATACCGATCACGAAGTACATAATTCATTTAATCGACTACAAAATATCCTTCATTAGTATGACATTAACGTTGCACTGTGCTGTTAAGATACCCACACCATCTCCAACATTGGGTCTGTGACATCTGCAGATCCCACTTGCCAATCAGTCTTGAGCTACAGCCACCCAGCCTCATGAAACCCGTCAAACCTCATCTAGTTCTGGTTATGATGTCTGTGTCTACAAGGCYGGGTCAGGGTGAGTCTTTGCCTCAAGTGGAGGAGTTTAAGTATCTTGGTGTTTTGTTCACGAGTGATGGCAGGATGGGTGTGATGGATCGACGGATCAGGGCCTCATTTAGTAATGAGAATGTTGCTTTGGTCAGTTGTGAAGAGGTAGTTGAGTATTAGGACAAAGTTATCCGGGGCGAGGTTATGGTGTAGTGGTAGAGCAGCCGACTTGGGACAAGAAAGTCACAGGTTTGACTCCCCGCCATGCCCACATGTCGTAGTGTCACTGAGCAAGACACCCAACGCCTAACTGCTCCCAGGCGCCTACATAGCTGCTCGCTGCTCCACTTGAGTGTTTCTCATGTGATGGGTCAAATGGAGAGCACAAATTTCATCATGGCATGGGAACACGTATTGATGACAAAGTACCTTTATCGAATTTACTGGTCTGTCTGATGGAAAGAATCTCTGGATGGAGGGATGTCTGGTTTTCTTTTCTGARTGTGTTGACTCTGACCCGACTATGGATTGGTGGTAGAAGACAGACGTGTCTATGAGGCATTTTCTGTGTCTGTTGGGTTTTACTCGCTGTTTTACCTGACTGATGCTTCAGCAAYCGCCTGATCACACCATCACTCCACTTGTGGTGTTGCCACTTTTGCCTTCTGTTCTAAACATGCAGCTCCTTGCAAATTGAATCAAACTCGAACCATTCCCTCTGGATGCTTGACTTTTTTATCAGTGAGTGTGTTTTTTTTAAAAGAGGACATATACTATTTAAACTCCTAATTTCAACATATATTACCTGTAGTATTAATGTAGTATTAATCATTTATATCTCACGATTAGTTTCAGGCTCATTAATGTTAATTAATTCAGAAGGTTTCCAAATTGCAAAATGCTTCTGAAACCACAAGTGTTCTAGTTTAAAAAAAAACAGTGATGTATTGATGCCTGGGGGAAATGTGAACAAGAATAGTTTCTTAGGGGTGTCCTATGAAACTTGTGTTCTAAATGAGGCTCAATTTGAACACAAACCTGACCTGCTTTGGTTCACTTTATATTCAGAGTTTCTGCAGGAATTAACTGATTGTTGTTGAATAAACGTTGGATTGTTGACAAAATTTAAAATTGCATCATCATCCTAAAAATCGGTGTGTTTAGACGATTAAATACACCAGTAACATATTCTTCATATACACAAAAATAATATTCTGAGGCAATCAATGTAACACATTTGATCAATCAGTGGCTTGAGTAATGATTTTTAGAATTTCCACATTAAAGCAACCTGCTTATCTTGTAAAAGATGTGTTTCAGTTATGATGAGCTGGATTCATAATACACCCCTAAGGCCTATTTTTGTTATTCCGCATTCTTGTTTGGTTTTGCTAAGCTGCATATGTAATACTACTCTGCTGTATCTGATTCATCCAAAACTGGACGGATGGCATTTTTATTTCAACTTCTGCTGCTTCAATTCAGGGACAAAAAGCCACTAAACTAACATAAGAAATGCAACTTTCACTATAAATACTGACTCAGTTTATAAAGTGACTTCATCATTTCATATATTAAACATTGGATTGTTCTCTTTATTCAGGCAACAAACCTACGTGTATTTCTAAAAAAGCAAACAAATTTGGTTATATTTTTTAGTATAATTTATTGGCATGCCTGTCATGTAATGCCTGTGATTTGCTTATTCTGATTCAAATTGATGTCCTACCTCATCTTAAAACCTGTGACCCATCAAACAAACATAAAAAATATTTTAAAAAAGGATAAAAATTGAACTTGCAGCTCATAGGTAAATGTAATGAACACCACAATGGGTCTGAAAGTTGCCCTAATTAATGCTGACTGAAATATAAATTTAAATACTTCTACTACTACTGGGCAAGCTCATTTTAGGTCAGTCATATATGGGTTTTTATAATAATAATAAAAAATAGAAATAAAAAAATGGGCTCTGACAAGCAGTRAATAAAAATGAAAACATCGCTTTTGGCTGCACCACCTTGAATCGTGTCAATGAGTTTAGCTTTTAAACACACACATGTGCTGGCACAATGAGTGCAAGTCTAGATTTTTTTCATCGTAATTGAAATTTGTGTAAAAATGAGTCCATAGAAACACCAGTGGTTCTAGTAACTAAAATAGCAAATAATCAACCTAAACTCACTTTAAAACAAAGTTTTCTAACAGGAATGTCTTCAGAAGTAATCTTTTTAATGTCCTTTCTGCTGATGTTTGGTGTCATTGTGAATTTAGGGTTGAAATTCCAGATGAGATTGTTCTGGACCAACCAATAAAAACTGAGTTTTCAAACCGGTTTGTTGCCAGTCCTAGTGATAAACCATCAAATTCTGACAAATCTCATATTGGTTTGAAAATTCTGAGATAAAGACACTGAAAATAACTCAACAATGAAAAATTTCTCATTGGTACTTATTAGTTATTAGTACAGTATGGGTCTCTCTCTCTCTCTCTCTCTCTCACACACACACACACACACACACACTACAATAAAGCATGTAACCATTGGCATGTGGATGGATGAACAGTTGCAGCACCCTCATTTGCTGCTTCTTTATATTGTCCCCTTTGTTTCTCTTTACTCTTCTGTTGAACTTTAGTTTGTTGTTCTTTTGTTATTTCATTTTTTAAGTTAGAATCTTAGTTTTGGTGAAAGTGTTTTAGCGCAGCWTTAATTTGTTTTAAAACATCAGATATATTGGCTCTTCCTACATGTGTTTTTTTATCATACAGTGTTTCTCAATGACCCTCATCCTCCTCAGTGTAAAAACTGTCCTTTATATGGGCGAGTGATTAGCTAACATAATAACAGCATAAAACCTCACAATTAACAGTGCATTCCTTTAAATATATCCTATGTACAGCCTTTTTCTATTATTTTATAACATATTCTTCTGTAATGGTTTGGTGCACAGACAATCACTATACACATGTCAATAAACAAGATGAAAACAATAATTTTGTTTGTTGTGATATGCAAGATTCTTACGATAAAAGAACCAAAAGTTCAGTCCAGGGTCCAGCAGAGGGCGCTCACTACCAACACAGACTGAGACCAGGCAGTTGCTTTGAGTTTCATCACTTCTTTAAAATAATCATCTTCTTTAATGAGCACTCTTGGCAGTCATATAAGGTACATCACCATGGAAATGTGATAAGGAGCTGAAAAKCGCACGGCGCTTGATTTCAAATGGCAAATTTCGAGAGCTTTCGCAAAGAATCCAAGATGTGAAAGAGCTGCTGAGAGTGGAGTCATTCAGAAGTTTGTACAGAAATTATGTCACTGATGAAGCTCGAGGAGGAGACTTTTCTTGGAAAGAAGCGAATTTCATGGGGATCTCAGTGGGGTTGAAGTCTTTCAGAGGGAAGGGGGAGAAAGCTGCAAGGCTCCCTGGATCTCCATGGAGGAGAAGAAGAGGTAAAGTCTAGCTAGGAGGCCGCCTTCCTCCATGTCGAACAGGTGGGGT